ATGGCCTTTTAAGGAAGAAAAATGAACACGGGGCTGCCCAGCCTGGGAGCCGGGATGACAGACGGAAACTTGCCATTTGTTGTGGGTTTGGCAGCAGCAGAGCGGAGCGGAGCGCGCTCCCATGCGCGCCGCTGCGTTCAACAGGCACTGAGAGCGCTGGAGCAGCAGGGTTTAGGGATGCAGGGCTGAGGGGGAAGTGGGAGAGCCATGGAATGATGGGTTAGACCACTCCGCTGGCGTGGATATGCGGGAGACAAGCCTCCGGGTGAAAGCATACACAGGCACAAGTGCTCCATGCCCAATAAGACGCACTGATTCCACGCAACATTCCCCTTTCTTCCTCATCCCGGTAAATTCGGCTAAACTGCATCCACACAGCCACAATTCCAATGGGAATTTAAACACCAGAGTTGGGCCTTGAGGTTGCTGCCATCAGAAGGAAATGACAGGGGTCTGCCTGGGTGCCATGGTTTAGTGTGAAGTGTCCCTGCCCATGGCAGGGGGGTTGGAACTGGATGATCTTAAGGTCCTTTCCATCCCTAACTATTCTATGATTCTATAAGCAAGTGCCACCTTTGGCTCTGCTCGCCACTAAAGCTGCAGGGTTAAGCTCTAAATAACAATTAAATGCAAATAAATAGCTCCAGGAAAAGCATAGAGAGAAGAGCAACAGGAATAGCTGAAAAGAGAATGAGATGGGGCCATGGGACCTTCAAAATGTTTGCTCTGCTGTCAGGAAGCTGAATGAGACAGCAGACTCCAACAGCTGGGAAAACATGTTGCAAAACAAGGAGAATTAAGTAATTCTCCACACACTCATCCTACTCTCAGGCATTTTGGACAAGCTCAATCTCTCCAATGAGAGCTTGGAGACCATTTGTTTCCATATAACTATACCTATAGAATAACTATTTCTATATATGTTTCTATCATTAGTTTCTATATAGGAACCATTTGTTTCTATCATGTTGCACACTCGCCCTGCCACTGACAAATCTTGGTATCATTTAAGCCTAAAACCACGGCACACCTGGAGTTGGGCAGGGGAGCCGCAGGCCAGCCTCTAGCACACAACTAGCGGTCCCTATGGCACGTGCTGGGTGACATCCTCGGAAGGCTGTGTCATCCTGAACACATCCCCTGCTGCTGGGTACTTGGTTCCACAAACATCTCCCCTTGCACCCTATAAACCACTTGTAATAGGACTATGGGGCTGCCTCATTACCTGCCTCTGAAGCACGAGCAGCTGCGTGCTCCATTATCACACCAGGTACAGAGAGATCACAGGCACTGCAGTTCCCCCCATAGCTCCTTTTCCAACTTCAAGCCTTGTAATCATGCCATTTACTTGAGCAAGGCCACTGACATCAAAGCTGCTGCAAACTGTACAACACGACTTATGCTTATTACCATGGGTTGTGGATGCAGCGTTAGCACCCTGCTAAGAGAAGCCGTGTTCAGACACAGCTTGCTAGGCAGAGCTCTGTACAAGCTTAAACCTGTCAGGTTTCCAACAGCAAATGAAGGTTAAAAGCAGCTGGGTGCATCTGGGCTTAGCCAGCACCTTGAAATCAATCCCGAGATACTCTAGAAGCTTAAAAAGAAGTCCCTTAAAACACCAACTCTCAGTTCTGCAAATTAAAAGCACACCCAAGGATGGCTGTGGCCAGAAACCTGACCTGAAAAGTAATAAATACACAGAAATGGAGACCTCATCCATCTGCCACGGGCACATCAATGCTCATCTTAACAGTGGGACACTTCACATGCCCAGCAGGCAAACCCAGTCCCTACACACAACCTCAGGGATGCTCTCAGTGTGAGGGCAACGTGACTTAGCACCACACATCCGTACGCCATCACCTCATCGCATCCAGCCAGCATAGAGGATGGTACAATGAAAACTCCATGCTACACAAGGGAGTTTTAAGGAAAAGTCTTGGAAAAGCAAGTCCCTGCAATGTGGCCTGGCTCGGGAATGAGTGTGGCACCGGAGGGACAGCTCTGCTCCTTGCATGCATCATTTCCATGGCAACGGCAGCTTTCACCTCCCCATCTCTTCCCTGGCTGGAAGCCCTGCAGTGCTTTGTGCTGAGACTGCAAAGAGGGGAAACCATCTCCCTTCACCAGCAATGCTGGGGATAGCAGCAAGCAGCCCAGGAACAAAAGCCTTGTCTTCATCAACACTATGGGGTCTTGGGAGGAGGGATGTTGAGCTGAAAGGATGGGCTTCCTTTTCGGATGGGAAACAATGCTCCCTCCAATGTGCAAAAGTGCAGGCTCGCCTCCCAGAGCTGCACAACGTGTGCCTTCCCTAGTTTGAACACAAGTGCCAGCTTTGGTTTGCTCTCTCAGAGCACCAGAAGGAGGAACAACCACCATGAGAGGTGAGAAATTCAAGTGCTGCTTCCACACAGGGATGCTTGTGCATAGGAAGATGGAGGTTGACCAACCAGGCTGGCAAACCCTGCCTGTCACCAGGAGGCCTGGCTCCATGCGTGGTCAAGAACCTGTTTGAGAGCAAAACCTCAAAACTGAGGTCTGAGCCAATGTTGCCTCTGCCCCAGCCTGCAAACACAGAGAGCACATCCATAGGGCAGCTTGGGCAGTGTTTTTCCTTGGCTAATTTAAGCTTTTTCTCCACCCTGCTGTTTGTGATATTATGATTCAAGCCCTGGCCACCTAACTGGGAGCCAAACTGCACAGCACACAGCTGGAGCCCTGGCAGATGGTGCAGGCTCATCTGCATGCTCTCTGTGCAGCCCTTCACTCACAGAAGGCAAACAGCAGCTCTGCTCATTGCTCTGGCTACAGTTAGCTGCATTTTGGTCCCTCCATGGTGCAGATGACTGGAGCTGCAGGTGAGATCATAAGCAGTGACACAGGTATACCTAGAACTCCTCTTCTTCTTGAGCCCAACATTCATCTATACAGCCAAAATGAAGGCTTCCAGCTGGTTCCCATCACTTATTTCACAATACATCCATAGCTGGCCCAAACATGAATCAACTTCTCTGCAAGATTTAGAGGAAAGCCTGAGAGCATCAACATGAATTCTCAAAGCAAGACAAAAGATGCAGGTGATGGAGCACAGAAAGAGCACAGGTCCATCATCTGGTCCTCCTCTTCCCACTCTTGAAGAGCCTTGAGGCTTCAGGAGAGGCACATTTTGACCTTTCCCTTTCTACATTTCCCCTTACTTTAGGTTCAGCGGTGCAAGTGCAGTCCTTCCAACCACAGGGACTCCTTCCAGGTTCAGTCATCACCACCACTGAACCCATCAGAGGCACTGCTAGCAAAGCTGATGCATCCTCTCCAACCTCTGTAGTGTTCCCTAGATTAGCCCTTTCCTCCCTAAGGGCCAGAGTTTCCTGCAAGCAAGAGCATTCTTCATTCTGGGCAGAGGAAAGATAGCTGGAACACAAAGAACCGCCGCAGCTGATGCTGCGAGACACCACATCCTGCCATCGGAATTCCTCACCCTCCACTTCAAATCCTAAAGTCATTCAAGATTTCTAAGAAGAGCACTAAGCTACTCAGCAGATTTTCAGCTAATGAATCAACACAAGCTGTCCAGGAAACCAGAAATCCAGCCCGCTGGAATGCTGAGCCTCCAGGGAGGGGGGGACAGGCAGCACACTAGGAAGGAAATGAAACAGCAAACCAGAAGGAAAGGAACATTTCAGTCCTGACCCTTCTCATCAGTTACACGTTTTAAGGGGAAAAAAGCAACTTTTGCACACGGAAGTGTTCATGTTCTTCAAGCCTGAGTTTTGCTCTGCGGCGCTGACATGTGCACATCTTGAAACCAACTCCTCGCTTGCAAGGAGAGCGAGGAAAAAGAATGACTTAAACATGAATCAACATTGCCACCTAGTGACTGGCAAAGCTCCTCGCTCCTGACACTTGGGATCCATCAGAACCACGTTTCCTTCCCAAATGCTAGAGGTAGACGTTAGCAAAACATATTCGGAGATCAGGGAGCTCAAATGGAATTGTGGATCTGTCGTAAGCAGCTTTCTCCCTCCACTAAGTTCGGTTTTTCCCTACTAAATGCAACTTCACCTTCTCCAGACAACAGAATTGGACTTCCTATTAATTCCTCGCTCCAGGCAAGCAGTCAATACAAGAACAGGAAGCTATGGCAGCTACCAGCACAAGGTTAATGCACTGGAGAGGAACTGCAGTGATTAGCAGCAGTCTCTGCTGGGGGACAGGCAGTTCCCTCGGTATCACATGAGAATTCATTGTTGTGGCTAAAGTTGTGCAAGAGGCCTTGCAGCCTCAGCACTAAACACTGACAGGGTGCAGCCTTGGCTCACTGGCAACAGATGTAAGCAGGGTTCTGTGTACATTCAGAATACTGGGAAACAGATTTCCTTGCTTCTCGTTTCCCCCCAGAGCAGATGGTGCAGAAGCAGCAAGTTTCCCCTGCTCCATCCCCCCGTTGGGGCTGACAAGTCTCCCGTTATGGCCATTAGGTTTGCAGGGAAGCACAGAGATCCCCTGCCCTTTGACTGGCTCCTGTTTCGGTGAGCTCTTCCAACAAGTTCTTTGTCACTTCCAACTGAATCTGTATTCGGGTGACAGCATAGAGGAAAAATGCAGATGCACACTCTCTCAAGGGCAGCACATAAGGTTGTTTCAGCTCATTCTCCAGAAGTTCCATTACATGAAGGACTACAGTTTGGTTTTATGCCTTTTAAGCACCCACCTCCCTGTTCACCTAAAACATTTCTGTACATGCAAGACAGCAATTTATGGCATCCATAAGCTTTTTTAGCCAACATCTTCCTAACAAAGGAATACTGGTGTCTTTATCAACAGTGCCCTGAAATCCATCTGTCCGGCCACACACTTGTATAGGACAGCAGTAGAATCCAGCATTTTGACTGCTGCCCCATGCAGCCACATCCTGCTCCTAGGAAGCACTGGCTGTCCTCCCAGCTCTCCTGCCCAACGCTCCAGGAGAGACCAAATGGCAAATATCCCCCAGTTACCTTTCTGCAGCGGGGATTGGGGCAGCTGAACCGCTTCACATCATGGTCCAGTAGAGCTGGGAAGTTGCAGAACGGACACCTAGAGCCCAAAAGATGCCATCAGTGCACAGTGCCAAAGGTATCTTTGCTGCAAGGGGATTCAGATAGTTCTGTGGTAGTTAATAAGGCTGCCAACCAAATGCCTGTCACCAGGATGTGCTGACTACTGCCTTTCTTGCTCATATTTCTTCAGTCACTCATAGTCAAAACATTTTATGCTCAGCACTGCTTTTGACCATGTAATTTAGAGGATCAGCACAAAACTGGCAAGCAAGTCTTAAGGGAGATGAGTCTATTGAATTTTAATCTGCTCCTAGTCAAAGGCAGACCAACCTGAATACAGAGAGATTTGGACAGACAGAAGCCTGAATGTGTAATACAGCTCTGAAAGCTCCCCATCTCACAGTGAGCATACATTTAGGGTTTCAGGGGACAGTTCTGTACATCAGTAAGTGCAGTCTGCATCCTCTGCTGGACACTTACCTGACAAGCTCATCTGCACAAGCAGCAGCCACCTCCTCCTTAGCTTTCCGCTCATAGTATTTGTTGAGGATGTTCTCTGGAAGCACCTTCTCCAGCTCGCTGGTGGGGAATGAACACGTGCAGCTGCCTTCCATGCAGCTGAGCTCTGACTAGGGTTGGAAGGAGAGAGCTCAGGTTCAGGGTGATGCTAGCAAAAAGCAATACTCGGTACCCAGAACATTTTCAAACACACCAGTGCAGAGCCTTGCTTCGAGAGAATAGAGCTTAAGTTAGCACATGACTGCCAGAGAATGGGTTTGCTTATGGAAAGAGCAAGACTAGTTAACAAATCAGGCCTCAAACAAACACTGGGCATGAAGATGGTGTTGATGGCTGGGATCACAGTTCACTTGAAGCCCACTGTGACCACATAGCAGCCTGTTATTACTGTATGGCCTCTGCTGACAACTAGCACTCTGCTCACAAACAGTATGTTGCATTCTTTAGGGTCATATCAAATAGAGCTGCTAGTTTATATGTTTATATAGATCCCAGACTACAAATGCATTCCACAGTTTCATCCTCATATCTCAAGGCAAAGGAGCACACACATCTCTGAGCATGTTAATGGCTTGTTTATAGCTCAGCTGAGTACCAGGGTAAATGCTTTCTAAACCGGAGCTTAAGAAAGTTCATAGCATCATAGAGGAACCAACTCCCAAATTAAGTTGGGAACCCAGTGATGTTACGTAGGACAAACACTCTTAGGTAGGAGGAGACTGGCCAAGTCAGACAAGAGCGTTCTCTGTGCAAAGAGAGTGGCTTATTAAGAAAACAAAACCCAGACAAATGCAAGTTATTGTTGTCACTATGAATACTGTGGAAAGTTCTCCTAACAATCCCAGTTGCTCAGCAGTGAGCATTGAAGAGGGAGGTTGGCAAAACTGAAATCCTATTCAAAGATCCCACTCAGATGGAGAGAAGGACTTGGTGGATTTGGATTTCAGGACACAATTCTATTTGAGTATTTCCTTGGAACTGTTGGAACAAGTCCAGAGGAGGCCACGAGGATGATGAGGGGCTGGAGCACCTCCTGTATGGAGACAGGCTGAGAAAGTTGGGGCTGTTCAGCCTGGAGAAGAGAAGGCTGCGTGGAGACCTCAGAGCAGCCTTCCAGTATCTGAAGGGGGCCTATAGGGATGCTGGGGAGGGACTCTTCATTAGGGACTGTAGTGACAGGACAAGGGGTAATGGGTTAAAACTTAAACAGGGGAAGTTTAGATTGGATATAAGGAAGAAGTTCTTTCCTGTGAGGGTGGTGAGGCACTGGAATGGGTTCCCCAGGGAGGTTGTGAATGCTCCATCCCTGGCAGTGTTCAGGGGCAGGTTGGACAGAGCCTTGGGTGCCATGGTTTAGTGTGAGGTGTCCCTGCCCATGGCAGGGGGTTGGAACTGGATGATCTTAAGGTCCTTTCCAACCCAAACCATTCTATGATTCTACATCCAATTTAAGCAACAACATTACACAAACAGCACTGTGATCTCCCAGCAGCATTTTACCCATCTTCCCCTCATCCAGGTGGGAAATTCTTACCTTCCCAGAGCCAAAGACTGCCTCCTGAGCATATTTAATTAGGCACTCCTTGCAGAACAAGTGACCATCTGCACACTGAGTCAGCTTCTCAAATGCAAAGTCCTCATAACAACAGCGGCACTCTATCATCTGCCCATCCTGCAGCCATAAAGAGGTATTGGCATCATCATCAGAACATCAATAGCTAGAGCAATATACAGACACATGCAACTGCAAGCTAGAAGCACTGCCAGCATTCATTCTAAAAAGAGCCACAGATGTGCACCATTCCATTAGTTACCCTGTTTGGTTGTCAAAACTCACTAAGCACAACCAGAAACACAGTTTTAAGTAACTTAATAGCTACATGTCCTGCTTGAGAGGTTCTTAAAAGCCACAGAAAACATACTATTTAATAGCTCTTAGCTTACAGGCAGAGAAGCACTTTGGGTTCAGGAAGGTGCAATTGCAGGGAAGCAGCATTCCCACTATTCTTATGGGGAAAAGCAAGCTTTGGATCTAATGCCTTCTCAAAGAACATTTACCCATGTGCTTGGAGAGACCTTGTCTTGGCCTCTTCACCACGGGGGTGAAGAAGCTTGTCTCTTAAGTAGTAAGTATGCCCACATCTTTAAAGGTCCAATATCCCCAAAGTTTGAAGAGAAATGGGCACTGAGAAGGACAAGGTAATCTACTCAACTTTTCTCTCTTTACTTAAAGGGAAAGACCCAATTTTCAGGTTTTTAGAGTCCTTCCTGCAAATGAGGAAAGCCTGTTGGAGTCAGAGCTCCAACAACAGCATTTCTGTTTTAAACAGCCATAATGCTGGTAGCAAGGGCAAGCCTGCTGCTATTCTATTGCAGTGTTTGCTCTGGCCAGCCAAGATACAAGCAGCAGCTAACTGAATTACTAGAGATCATTACATGCATCAATACTGCCTTGCTGGACTCAGCTCTTGTCTACCTTTGCTAAACGCCAGCCAACACACACACTGCAGGTTCTGCCAGCTCAGCAAACGCAGCACAGTGCAAATGCAGCTCCAGGAAAGCTCCATTCCAGAAGCCAAAAGAGTCTGTGAAGAATTTAGTGTAAAACAGCATCTATGCTGATCTCAGATCACACTACAGATACTGACCTTCTGATACTGCTCCTCATTCATCTGCAGAGCAAGGAGGAAGTCTGCATGCTGTAAGAGAGACATGTGCACCTGTATTTATGGCATAGATAAAGCAATTTTACAGCTTCTACGCTCTTTTACATTACCTCAGGATTTAGAAACCACCATAAAAAGCTCCCTGTCTGCTTACACCACCACTCAGCCCATCCTTCCAATCCATTAAGCTATTTATGATTCAGCTAAAACAGATGGGAGAAGCGAAGGATCAGGAACAAAGACCTGAATTCTGTGTTATGGAAAGCTGCTGGTTCAGGTTTCCATGGGCAGAGATGACCTCACCCAATGGACCCCTCCAAAGAAAGCCCCAGGGAACATTAGCTTTGTGATTAAAAGGAGACACTATCCATCTGCCTAAAAGACAAGGATCTTTAAGAAAGGACTGTAGGCACAGAGCTGTGAATCCAGTCTCTCCTCTGACTAGAGAAAACAGTGGGTGTTGCAGTGTTCTCCCTTGAAACACACGGCCCTCAGCACAGAACAAGATGATCTGGAGACACAGGACTGCCAACCTGTGGAAGGCAGGGCGAGTGGACAGACTGCCTTGGGCCTGGTCATTATTCACCATCAACACTGAGCTGCGATTACAAGGCCTCAAGCACCAGAGAAGCCTGCTACCAACTAGAGGAGGAGTTAGTTAGCAGAGCTTTTCCTGCTTCATACCAATAAAACTCCAGAGCAGCGTTTGCAAAAGCAGCAGATGCATAGTTGGGAAAATAAGAAAATCTGTGCTTGTTCTTTTTCCTTCAAAAATCAGTAATTTGGGAAGAGTCATACACGTAACAGGTAGCAAAAGGGCAAAGGTAGTGTCTGAATTGCTCCAAGAGGCAGATTTCCATGTTTAGGGCCAAGACTTTTATAACAGTTGAAGTTGTTTGCACCATGAGATCAAAACAGCTCCTATCACTCACCTCTGCCATCTCTTTCACTTTCTGCTCATAGAATTCCTGCTCCCGTAGCACCAGTGGCAGAAGGGAGCGCTTGTCATAGGACCTCCAGTGCCGCCTCTTGTTCTCCAGGAAGAACATGCGCTTCTTAATTTTCACATCCCCTAAAGCAGAGTTAAAGGCACAGTGAAATGGGATGGGGCAGCCAGAACGATGCTTAAATCCTTCTTTCCCCATGCATCACACTCAGCATCTCAAGCAGCACTGAGATACCTCCAAAACTGATGGCAGGCATTGACAGAAGCATCTCTGTCTTGGGACCGCATCCCTTTTCAAGAACAGCACTTTCCGCTGCAAGGCAGTTCTGCTTACAACAAAGATGTGGAGAGCACAACACATACAACTTGCTATTTACCTTGCTCAAATTTGAAGTCTATATATGAATACTGATTCATCTCTTTCTTCCTTTTCCGTTTCCCACTGGTTTCAGTAGACAGCTCCTGCCATTTTTTGATAGCATCTGAAAAGGCCTAGAAAACAAGAGACAGACTTCAATCCTGTGCTCCTGGAGGAAAGCAAAACCAGACTTCACATCAAATCAAAGCACAGTACAAACATGTGCATGATGCTGATCCAAAACTGGAAAGCAAAACACCCCATACAGAGGCAAATATAGCTCTTTACTTTGCTCACCTTACTGCATTATGTACTCATAAAGCAATCATTCCATAAATGCAAACCAGATGAATGATACTTCACACCACCTATTGTGTAAAGCTATTTCAACTCCATCTGGTGTCCCCTTTGATGCAATAGAGCTGGTTTGGCTTTTTTTGTTGTTGTTGGGTTTTGCTTTTCAGTTAAAAAAGGAAGCTCAAATACTCAATTGAGCAAGTGAAGGAACAAGGGATTTTTGTTTAAGACCTGGAATAGCAGAGAAAGAAGCTCAAGCAAGAGGAGGATATCAGAGCAGATCCAAGTCAAATGCTTGAAGCCACATTTACATTCAGTTTGCTGATACATAAACCAAGTGTCTCTGCAGCTTCCTTACAGTGATGATCTTTTACAGGCAACAGACCTCAGAGCAGCCTTCCAGTATCTGAAGGGGGCCTATAAGGATGCTTGGGAGGGACTGTTCATTAGGGACTGTACAGGACAAGGGGTAATGGGTTCAAACTTAAACAGGGGAAGTTTAGATTGGGTATAAGGAGGAAGTTCTTTACTGTGAGGGTGGTGAGGCACTGGAATGGGTTGCCCAGGGAGGCTGTGAATGCTCCATCCCTGGCAGTGTTTAAGGCCAGGTTGGACAGAGCCTTGGGTGCCATGGTTTAGTGTGAGGTGTCCCTGCCCATGGCAGGGGGGTTGGAACTGGATGATCTTAAGGTGCTTTCCAACCCTAACCATTCTCTGATTCTCTGATTCTAATACAGGACTCATTCCACAAGTCATCATCAAAAGAACCAGGACAGAGAAACTGGGGCTTCTTTTCAATTCCATGCAGTCAGTTAACTAATAGCAGCAGTTAAACGTTAAATGTTTGAAGATTCAACTGAAAGTCTAGGTTTTACTGACGATTATATGACACTTCAGCAGCAATGTATGGGAACACTTCTCAGTTTAATGCATCACCTACTGTCAACTAGCCAGTTCTATCAGAGAGAAGTAAAACCTTCCTGCAGCATTCTGTCTGACCAATATATTTTGCAGGTCTCCTCTAAATGGATTAATACGTCTTAAAAGGAAAGGAAGAGCATTAAAAAACCCATAACCATGTGCTAGCAGCTGATACAGTGAGGCAAAAGACACAGAGATGAGGGATAACCCGAGGAAAGGAAAGAGACTTGAACTGGAGAACCTTTCGTGTGATTGCATAGTGTCCCTTCAGTTCACGTAGTGCCCACTTAATGTCTTGGCTGCTGAGCATTTTGAAGTCTGCCATAAGGAGGTCAGCTGCCTGAATAAAGCACCGCTGATCCAGTGGGGCGAGCTTGAAGAAGTCAAAGTAGTCCACTTTAGGCACCTAGGGAGACAATGCAAAACATAAGAAGGCTGCTGTAAATATACACAAGGCCACCACAAACCACTCTTTCAGCTTCTGCAAGACCAGCCCAAGTTCAGGTTAACATGGCACCCAGTTCTGAGCATCTATCTAAGCATCAGCTCAGATGGTGTGTGAAAGCCTACTGGTCTATGCACTTGTGTGGGTAACCTGCCCCGAGCTGCAGCTCTGCTCCAAGTAGGACCCACACCACATAGTTTAAAGCCATTGTGCATGGCTGCATGAGACAGCTCAGAGAGGATGCATTTAGGTTACTATAAAGCCATTTTTATTGGCTGGAGGTTGAGAGATGCTTCCAAGAGTAGAAAGAGTTGAATACCCATTCAATGTTTCTCTCTTAGGCCACACACAGAGCTATTTTAATACACTCAAAGGAGCTCAGAGAGAATGTGTTGTCAGATGGACTGTATAACAACTGAGTAAACAGCAAAACCAAGAAGCAGGCTGAAGGGCAAGGGAATTCTTGTATCAGTTACTACAATGAACACTTCAGATGGGGTGGCTGACAGGCAGGCAGGGCAGAGGGTCTTGCTGGTGGCCAAAGAGCAGCCACGGTGCAGCTACACAACAGCAAACCAGGAGAGTCTTAGAAGCCATCTTGCAAGCAACTATCACTACTTAACACTGTCTTAAATGCATCCAAAGGCTCCTTATGTAAGTAAAGCTCAACCAGACACCCTACAAGTATGTACTACTAAAACCAGACATCCCAAGCTCCGCTCAGGTTGAATGGACTGGACGAGAGGCATGCTGCAGATGAGGATGCTCTCACTTGCCTTTGTCTCATCTTGGCTGGGAAGCAGGCTGCTGCTGGGATTTAAAACCACTCTGCCTTCCTTCTTTGGGTAATCTGGATTCTCCAGAAGGAAGTTACAAAGCCTGAAAAGAGAAATACAGGGTTACTTGAGGGCCTGGGAGCTCAGGGTCATTCCTCACTTGTCTAATTTCAGTATCTTATTATGAGGCTGGGGAGGCAAGTCAGCCTGCCCTGTAAAACCCAAGGGAGGTCCTAGGCTGGAGCACACTGCAAGCAAATGCCTTAGATTTAGGTAAAGAATGTTTGGCTCTATGACTGCAGAGGGAAAGCAGAGATTTGCCTTTCAGCAATTCAATTCATATACATGAAGCCTGTATGGGTGAGCTGCTAACCAACCTACATCTCTTTCCATGGCAGAGGTGAACAATCAGGCTTCCTTCCTCACTCCCACCCATGTGAAGTGGTACCTGGACTAAGAGTTAAGGTGAACTAACTTTCTGCTACTCTGGAATTCACATTACAAAGACCATACAAGAAAGAAGACTCCCAGCATCAGCAGCATTAACTGAAACCTGTGGCTAACACAAATGCATCTATGGCAAAAGCAGCATGCAAACCCTCACAAAACCCAGGAAAGGTTCGTGTCTTCCTCAAGGAAAGGTTACAGATTCAAACTGGAATTAGAGCTTCCAGTCTTGATCTATTTCCAAACAGAGCAGAGACAAACATGTTTAAACTGTGTGACCATACTATATGTACTCTGAATACAGGTTTCACTGTAATAAAAGCTTGAAATCACACCAGATTCTCCAGCTTCTACTAGAAACTGGTCTAATGAGAACAGCATTCAGAAAGCAATCACTAAAACTTGCTAAAGCAATTGCACACCAGCCTCTGAATGCAGCGGACCTGAGCTCCTATCACAAACAATCCTAACTGGCAGGTAAATGGAGTTTCTGGCTTAGGAAAGACCCTAACAAGCAGAATATCCCATTGCTGGAGAGCCACAAATACTTTAGAAGCCCTTTTGAAAGGGAAGCTTGCTGGAGGCCGTCTGAAGCAGGCTTTCACTGCTTATTCTCCACCATCACTACCCGGTGATGTGCTGGCTGGGTCAAGTAACAGAATCAGTTCCTCAGTTTCCCCAGCTGTAGGATAATATGCTTTATAAAGGGCTTGGACAAGCATTAGCATTTGTAAAACTTGCTGAATGAGAAGGTGCAAGGCTGCAGCAAAGACATAATTGCAGCTAATTCACATTCCTGATGTCAGAAATCAGTCCCTCATTAAGAAACCAGACTGGTTTGAAGCATTAACCCACTATCAAGGCATGATTACTTTAGCCCTGCTTTCACATTCAAAGCAGAGGCACTTCTTTCTGGTTAATCAGGTATTGACAGATTGAGCCAGAAGCTTTTGACTGAGCGTGAATGCTTCTGCACACAAAAGCTGAATGGATGATACCCTGCTAAGAGCAGCTCCCCCATCTTATCTTCCACATCAGCTGAAAGTTCTTTATGATGATCAGCTTGGAAAACAACAAAATACCTTGGCACTGAGCATTTAACAGACCCCAGCTCTCCCCCTTGGCATCCTTTTGGTTGAAGAGAATTGTTTTAATCCAACAACACAGAAACTTCAAGGAGCTCAAACATGAGGGTGTCAGCTGAGGCTCTGTCAGGATGCATCTGAACTGTTCTGCATGTTGCCATCTCGATGCTTGGGATTTCCAGAGATGTGAACCTTCGGTGCCTGACAATTAGGGAAGTGGGTCCCAGCACACAACGCATGCACACTTGCAGCACTGTTCATTAGTATCTGCACCACAGGACACAGAGCCACTTAAAAGCCTCATCCCTGCCCAAACCCAGCCACCCTTAGTTATTGTATTTCAAGCCTGATTCGGCTTGACACACCACGGACATCAAAGGGACCCTGCCAGCGAGGCTGACCAGGGCTTTGACCCATTTGTTCTCACACAAAAGATGCAGGGGCAACTCAAAAAGCTGGTTTGGTTAAAGGGATAAAAATATGGAGAAGAAATCTTTATCATCCAGTGAGTGGGTAACGCGCCGCTGAGCAGACACTGTAGATGGCCTACAGGGAAGCCTGTAAGCACCTTTTCATCTCACTGGGTCTGTGGCACACAATGGGAGACATTTCAGGGCAGAAGGGAAGGAACACATTAAGACTGACAGAAGCTGATACTGTGACTTAATTCCATCAGGCTTCATTAAATCCCACAGGACACAATAATAAGTTGACAAGTGAGAGGATCCTGCAGCCAGATGTGTAACTTCAGCAGCCCCATTGCTCCAAGGAATGGCTCTACTGGTTTTCTACACACAACCATCTACAATGAGGTGCACAGGTATGTGGTATGGGCACCCAAAAGTTTCTCTCTTACTGACCACACCACCACTGCAGGGAAAGCACTTTAGAAAGACAAGAAAGAAGTTAGCTTCTTCCTAGCCAAGAAGCCCTACTTTGGACACACAGCAGCACAAAGGCAGCAGAATAGGCAATCTATGCCCGATGGACTGGATCATTCCAATTTCCTTGCCAGTTTACTTATTTATGGTCCAATAACTAATTCCAAGCCTCACGCACTTAAATGCTGCTTAATTAGTGCCCTAGTTAATGGGAAAGGGGCCTTGGAGTAATACAAGAGAGGGAATGCTCTGGCAACCAACACCTATTCTTCATTCTTGTATCACGCAATAACTAGTTTCAGCATGTTTGAGATAGCAGTGACAGCTGTAGAGACAAAAAACACAGAGAGAGGGACCACCAAGCATCAGACACAAGTGAGTTACTTCAAACCCCTCTCCCCTCTGTGCTGCTGGTGCCAAGACAAGTAGGAAAGGAGGTCTTCACCCTCTTTTTCCATTCCTTTTAGTGCCCTTCTTGGCTCCTGTTTCTGCTCAGCTTGATCAAAATCAGTCCCTTAACAGGTATCTAGAGCCAATCCTACCAGCCCTTAAACGTGTTTGTTCTATTCTAGCTGCAAAAAGTGATGTGAGAGAACTCGAGCAGTATCACTGCTACTGGCTTAAACACAGGGGATAAAAGCCACCATGATGGCAATAAATAAGGGAGACCAAACCAGTGTCATCTTTACCTGGAAAAAGCCAAAAAAACAGTGAAATTAAGAAGCAGGAAACTCTTCTCCAACCCGAGTCAGCAAACCACCTTCTTATGTTTTACAGAAGTCATCTCAATACCTTAATCCTGATGCTCACCCTTTTTAAGAAGCCTAGTAACAGTTAAGAAGTGATATGTAATCTTTAAATAAGTAAATGATCTTAAAAGCAGAGAAGCTACAGCACAAATGTAAGAATTAAAGAGACTTTAAGAAAAGCCCTATTACAAGGAAAAATCCCAACAAATTCCCTGCTCTTTGGCACTATCAACACAGTGCTGCCTCCCAGCCTGGGTATGCTTTAGAACAGTGTGGGGAAATGGAAACGTGACTATAGCCAGCCTGTTGTACAATACACTGGCTCTTAGCTCTGTACTTACACATTTAAGTCACAGCAGTTCCTGATGATGATGAGCTCTTCAATGTAGTCCTCCTTCACATCTGGGAATCTTGCTTCCTACAGTAGGAAAAGCTATAGGTTATGGAGGTATTAGAAGAGCTGTGTAGCACAACCTAGTGAATAGCACCAAAAAGACACAGATTTATGTGTCTGTATGTATCACACTCAGGAGACAAGGGCCAAAACTGGTTTCAAGAGACCACTTCTATCCATCCAGCACGGATACTGCAAGGTGCTGCCATCCCTTTGCTCCACAGGATGATTCCTAACACCATTTCTCACAAGAAGGATATGGGTAGTGAGATTAGGCATGAGTAGCTGACCTAACAAGTGATTCAGGCTCAATGGAAAGAGGCAAAGCATGTAGGTATGATCTACAACACAAGAAAAGCTAATATTTACCTTCAGACAGAAGATTAAGGAGTTCCAGACTGTGTGCTGAAATACAGCATTCCAAAGGCAAAGGAAAAACCCCAGCAATACATACAACCCACCCAAAAGCACCCAGACACATTAGCAACAAGCTCAGACCAGACAACAAACCTTTCCTGGCATTACTGTGCAAGCTTTCCCAGCATTAGCCACATAGCAAAGAGCACCCATTGCTACTCTCCTGATGGGTTTCTGTACAGGTATTGCAACTATTGCACCAGATGGATTCCGCCTTGCAAGACTGGACTGGTCAGGGCTGTCAAACAACTCTGACAATGCACAAGTATCTACTTCCCCATCTCAAATCAACTCACTCATCCACGAGGTCTGGCTTGGAAAGAACTGAATTAGCTGGACTGGTACTTGAACCCCAGTTGTCCCAAATAGAATGAGATACAGGATGTGGAGGGAAGACTTGGAGGGGATGGGAGTGGTGGTGCACACAGATGCAGGGAAATACACTCTATTGCAAAGTAAGTATTCATAAGGCATCAAGAGAGATCCTTCCTCCCTAGCAATCAAGGGGAGGAGTGTGCATTGGAGGGGAAAACACAGAAATGTGAAGCTTCCCCACACTTTTGTTTTGTTTTTAAATACACAGAAGCTGCTGAATGTCCCAAAGGTGAAGGAAAACCCTTCCTGGTGGTTCCATTCTGGTGGTTAGTGCCCCTCGAGCTCAGCTGCACAGGCAGAGTCAGAAAGGACTGGATGGAGTTAACTTCTAAGAGTCTTCATGCTGCTTATCCAGTAATCCTTCACTGCTACCGCCTGGAAATCCACACTGCAAGGGCAACCATCACCCCCTGAGCACCAGGGTGGCTTTAACGCAGCCATGGACCACAGTGCTTTAGCCACGGCTCTCAGCCATGTGTCTCTAAGCCTTCTCTACCTCACCCTTTATCCCTCTGCCAGTGTTCAATGTCTCTTTTGCCCCTTTAGCTCCACATCCATTCCTAAGCAGCTCTAGAAGGTTAGGAATCAGACAAGAATAAACTAGCAGAACCAAGAGGGCAGTAGCCTTTAAGACTCCTGTTATTTCACCCCACTGCACCCTTGAGACCCTACCATCAACTCTGCTAAACATCTCTGGCCAAGAACCCATCCCCAAGCAAGCAGTGCCCTCAAGATTCACACCCTCTCAGCACTTCAGTTAGTCTTTCAAAGCAGAGTTTCCCAAGGCAGCTCCTTGCCTGCTCCTCACCTGCTGCATAGCTGACTCTCAGCCAAAACGAAGAGGATTTGCAGCTGAAGTCAACAGGGCTGTGCTTTGAGCATGTGAAACGCTACACACCTTGAAAAACCTGTCTGGGAATACCATGCACACAGAAGGCAAACAAGCCCTGGGAATACTTACTGTCTCTCTGATGAGCTGTGCGGTGAGGTCCTGGTCCTGCCCAGCAGCTCCTTGCTCTGGAACGTTACTAGAGCCAAGTTCCTGGCAGCCCTGTGCAGGGAATGCTGGACCTGGCTGTTCATTGTCTACTGCTGCCTGTGGACCCGTTTCTTCTGGTGGATGTGCTGGCTGGGGTGAAGCAGGACCTGGAATCCCATCCTGCTGTGGTTCAGGTCGTGGGAAGACCGGCCCAGGAGCCTTCTCTCCATATGCCCTTAAAGATCCTGGGTCTGCTTCAGGCTGCCCTTGCTGAGGAGCACAACTATTTACTACAGCATGTGGCTCTCCTTCAGATGGCTGGACATGTGGATGATCCTCATGGATCTCCTGCTCTGCAGGACCCGCATCAGCTGGTTCTCTGAGGTTTTGCTCGGGCTCCAAGTCCTTTCCCTGGGTTTCCACCTTTTCTTCCTGTTGTGGTGGAAAGTCTGTATCCTCCAGAATAATGATTTCTTTGTTAACAACAGGCTGTGGGCTTGTAGTTATTGCTGGAAGCAAACTTGGACCAGGCTCCTGGTTACTTGTAAGTTCAAACCCAGGGCCATTAAGCTCTGATGATCTGGGCTGTTGCAATTCAAAGTTCATATTCTCACCCTTGCTCGGTCCAGCACTGCTCTCCTCCACATGGTTATCCTGGTCTCCCTGGCTGGACAGAACTGGGATCACATCTTCAGGATATGTGCTCCTCAAGGGCTCAACAGCACTTTTAGATCCTCTTTCTCCCACAGCATTTGCACACTGCCATTGAGCAGCAGGTCTGATGACATTGGGGCGTGGAAGCTGCTGATGCTTTGGGGTCTAAAGTGAAGATAGACAAGAGTAAGTAAGCAGGAGTTCTTTTCTGCATGGCAGAACCCTTGCTCCAGGTGATCTTTTGAATCTCATCAGATTTCTGATGGGAAACACATGAAGTCTGTTTAGCAAAGCCCTTAATAAGCCACAAAACTGCAACCTATGTACCCTTGTTGCACTGAATTCCAGCCTCAGTCTGTCCCCAGGTGCTAAGAGAACACTGGGCAGAACTGGGCATGCACAGGACTTTCAGAGTGGAATAATCTCCTAAACTCCCATCAGAACAGTCTGGGAAGGAGGAACTAACTGCTGGCATGTTTGCATTCTTACTGATTTATCTCAACAGCCAGAAACCAAAGCTCAAAGCATTAACCTCTGGCCTTGTTCTTGCCTCTGGCAGACAGGCTGCTGTATGACAACAGCCTGAATATTCCCTGCTACTGTTTCCAACTAAGAAAGAGAAAGGTCAATATTGGAACCCATTTTCTCAATGCCTTGGTTAATCCAACATAGAAGTGGAATATATTCTTCATATAGCTTAGATACAAAGTTAGACACTGAATCTATGTAAGCTAAAGCCTTTGGTCCTCCTCTCTGCGACTGCCTGTGCCAGTGGAAAGGTTACAGGTGATACAGGTGGGCTGGCTTTGTAAGTATGCAAAAATATAAGTGCCTGCAATAGCCCAACAAGAATCTGGATAGGATAAAGGGATCTAAAGCACACAAGGTCAAACAAGGCACGGTTTGAAAACCTGCCTCTGAAGGAACATCCCATCCTTTTATGAAGCACTCCATCTCTCTGGATCTCAATAGACAGCTTTACAGAAGCTACAGTCTTTGTTAATTAGAACTTTAAATACAATAGAGTTTAATAGTCTAGATCTCCCCTCCTGTGCCCAAAAAACGATTAAACAGAGCCAGCAAAATGCCATCATTTCAGCATCCATTTCAGCCATCCAAAGTAAATTACCATAACTGGACCAGACTCTCAAAAGAACACATCAGATATTCACAGGAGAGCTGGCTGTAAAGGCCATGAATAAAGCAGGGCGAGGACAAGAATGACAAATTACCTCCTCCAAGATGACTACATCATCATCATCTTCCTCACGCTGCTGCTCTGCTGGTGCTTCCAGCGGGAAAGGTAATTCTTCATCCGAGGAATCCAATGTCAGGACACCTTCGTACCTGCAGTCTATCCAATCTGTGGGACACATGAAGTCAGCTATTTGCTCAAGGTAAATAACTGAAACCCCAGGGCACAGGCACTGATACATCTCAAAAAGCAATCTGCACATTTGCATTGTGGTGATAGGGAAGAAGTGCTCAAAGGCCACCGATTCCTCTCCAAATGCAATTGTGGCACAGTCACAGCCTCTCCTGCCTCCCTCAGCCCCCTCTGAGCACAAGCCCTGCACAAACTACAGCTCACCACAACAGCACATGCATGAAACACTCACTGACACTTAACACAGAGGTACTTCTATTCCAAACTTCAGGACAAGTCAAGCTGCTGCAAAATGTATCCTGAACACGCTATGCACAGACTGCTTCCCAGTTTTTGCATAGAATTCCTGAACTTTCAGTTATTCAGGGATCATATGTTTTCTTTTATTAATGTACAGTGCATTCTAGAGGACAGAGAAGCTCCTCTATGTAACTCTGCTTCTGAAAGGGTGTGATTTTGCAGGAGTACCTTATGCAAGGCTGAGATAGAGCTCCCGGCTGTGGATGCTGAAGGTACCCTGCTATTAAATGACAACCCTGTCCCTCAAGGCTTGTCAAGAATGGAATACAGATACCACTGAACAGAGCTGCTGGAATCATAGAATTGGTTTGGGTTGGAAAGGACCTTAAGATCATCCAGTTCCATCCCCCTGCCTTGGGCAGGGACACCTTCCACTAGAGCAGGTTGCTCCAGGCCCCATCCAGCCTGGCCTTGAACACTGTCAGGGATGGGGCAGCCACAGCTTCTCTGAGCACCCTGTGCCAGAGCCTCAGCACCCTCATAGGGAAGAGCTTCTTCCTTAGATCCAACCTAAATCTCCCCTGTTTAAGCTTGAACCCATCACCCCTTGTCCTGTCCCTACTGTCCCTGATGAAGAGTCCCTCTCTGGCATCCTTGTAGGCCCCCTTCAGATACTGGAAGGCTGCTATGAGGTCTCCACACAGCTTCTCTCTGCAGGAGAGACACTCAAGGCAGAAACAGAGGGTTTCTGTACTGCAGAGACAGCATACAACCACGCTTTCCCTATGATTTGACACATCATTTTGGCTTCTGCTTTAGCATACGTATTCATGAGCATCCATTTATCACCTTTCAGGCATACACAGAAAGCATCATTTTGCATTCCACTCTTGGAGGAACGGGTGCCAACGCACATAGCCCGACAGGGATAGGAATGCAGAGCCAGCCTCTCTCCTCTGAGGTCCTCAGAAGGGTGGAACACCAGAAGCCCCTCATCTCTACACGGTGTTCCCAAGAAGTTCACCATCTGCCTTGAGGCAGTACAACATGAGAAAGGCAAGAGCCAAATATTTTGCATGTCTGCATGAAAGGAAAGACTTTTCAGTGGGTGGCTGTGAAGGAAGTGTAACAGAGCAGCGACTGACACGGCAAAACAGACCACCAGCAGCTTCCCCTTAAACAGCACTCTTCCCAGTTTAGCATCGAGGAACCCTGCTGCTTGTAAGCAGAGCTTTCACAAAGAACACTTCAGGAAGACACATAGAGCAGCACTCACCTTTCCCTCTGTGACTCTGGAAGCTGTTCAAGTTAATGGCTTCTTCATTTCCATCTCCCTCTGCCATTTTAAGGAGCTGAACTCAGAAGTGTCAGTGTTCAGGCGCAGTCAGGCTCACACGAGGAACTATAAGACAAAGTAAAGCCAGAAGAGCATAAGGCAAGCTCAGCAGCATCCTAATCTGGCTTTCCCAAGACTATAAAATGCCAAAACTTTGGGGGTTCTCCTGCCTCCCCATGCACAGCCTCTCCATAAAGGTATTTTGCTGTGCCACCTCTAAAAGCAGACACGCTTCTGTTATTTCTTGTCCTCACAGTTAAGACAGCCAACTGAGGAGCACAACCAGGCCCAAGAAGACACAAAGATGCTTGAAGCTATGCAGTCACATAAAGAGGTGGATGGGGAGATGCAATTCTGTCCAGCCAGGACTCCAACCCTCCCCAGATGCGCACCTCCTGTTTCTGAGAAGTCAAAACCCCGATGCATCAACTCACATAGCAGTACTTCTGTCACCATCTAACAATGAGGTGCAAAAGCCACTTGCCTGAGCTGCCACAGGGCAACACCACATAAGCCTGCATCTCAAACGTACCTGTTGATGTCATTACAACCATCCCCATAGAGTCCTACCAATGCACAAGTGTTGCAGAAACACCAGCACTGAGGTGAACAGCCATTATTATGGGTCAGATCTGACAGCTCTGCTGCTGAGGAGTAGGACCATGAAGTGCTGACCATTGCTGAAATGGAGACACCAGCATCACTCGTTTGCGTGCTGCCAGGCTGAGGCACAACTTCAGAGGGACCAGAGATGCTTTGAGCTCACCACCACGATGCCCATGTTGTTGGTGCATCGGAAGGGAGCTGCAGCTCTGTCAGGGCAGTGTAGAAGTGTGTGATTTGTTCACAGTGCAGGCACAAAACACATCTGTAGAGCACACTTCCTTACCACAAACAGCAGCTCTGCTTCAGAGCCAGGCTGAGAGAGCTGGGCTTGTTCAGCCTGGAGAAGAGAAGGCTCCTTAAGGGCTGAAGGAATGCTGAAGGGGCCTATAACAGATCTGGAAACAGGCTTTTTACAAGGGCCTGTAGTGACATGATAAGAGGGAATGGCTTTAAACTGACAGAGGGGAGATTTAAGCTGACAGATGGAGGCAGCTTTGTCTCCATTTCAGGGCAGGACACTTGCTCAGCACACATATAAAAGGTGCCAGCAGCACGGTGCAGTGCTGAACCAGCCTTCTTCAGGGGAAACTTCCACCATAAAGGTTTTCAAGGCTACAAACAGTCCCATTCACCTGATGAATGGTCCAGATTTGAGCAGGACATTGGGCTAAAGGAACTGCAAAGGCCTATTTAACCAGCATTACTACAAATATGTAACTACTCCTATACATTTGAGCCCTGTAACCTCAGTAGCACACCCTATTTTCAGTAAGCACAAGAGAATCATGGGCATATTGACGCTTCAAAACATGCTCCAAAAGCAAGCTTTTGGGAGTGTTTCCACTGGGCTCTTCAGCTTCTGCTTTACAAGCAAGGAGAAATCAATCTTTGTTTGCTAGAAGGGCATGGAAGCACCATTCTCATCAGTGCAGACAAGAGCTGGAACTGCAGTTCAGCAGCTGGGTCACTGTCAGCATGTATAAAAACCCTGTGAACTCATTCTTAAAAGGAGTTTGGCTGCCACCTAGTCCTGCATAGCATCTTTCCACCCTGAGCCCTCTCAGTGCTTCAGAAAACAAGATCAGTGTGCTTCTTGCCATCTAAATGATGGAGAAATGAAAGCACAGAAAGGACCAGCATGGCCAAGGCCACTGAGCAGGCTGGCAGCAAGGCCAGGAGAGGCATGCAGGCCTCTTATACCCACACCAACCACTTCTGCTTCCCTGCAGGCTGGTCCTACAAAAGCCCCTGCATTGCTATCATCCACCTCTCCCAGGCTCCTTCAGGCAGGCTCCTGCTCAACCAAGGAGCCTCTTGGCAGGCAAAAAGAGAAGGATCATTCCAAAACGGGCTGTGAAGGAACAAGGATGTTCATGGAAGCCACAAATCATCTCTTGCAGCATCAAGTGGTACACACAGCGGCTAGACAGATGTCTGCTTGGATCTGCTCTGTGCAAAGCTAAGTGGCTTGGATACTTCTCCCCTTACAGTGGCATGTGGGGTGTTAGCAGCAGGGGATGTGTGTATGTGTGAGTGAGCCGACACCACAAATGCTCAGCACAGTCACCAGGAAGTCTTCTTCTAAATAGTGCTTTCTCCAACTAAAAGCCAGAGCTGTTCACATCCAAGAACAAGGGACAAGCCACAAAACTGAGGTTAAAGCCATATTCTCCATAGACAATGCTGGGTCCTGTAGACAGGAACTCGAGCACTTCAACCTTGTGCATCAAGAAAAGGCACAGGAAATGAAATCTGGGCTAACAGAGCATCTGTGCCCTGTACAAGATGCACACACACACACACACAATCAGAAGACCTATGGTGGTTTAAAAGCAGGAATAAATAGCATTAACTGTAATACACCATCAAGGCAACAACAAAAAAGCCAAGCCTGGAAAGAACTGGCAATATAGCACTTCCCTATTTCAAACCAGACTGCAGAAGAACCCAAGCAGCTCAATAAAGCACTGCTTTGAGGGGAAAAGCCAAGCTTCCAAAGAGAGCTAGCAATTCATTTTGTCAATAATTCAGTACAGAGCTCCAGTTTAAACAGCTATCTGTGAGCATGGGCCAGTTCCATGCAGTGGCATGAATAAGAAGTTTGTTCATGTTTCTAGCACTAGGCTGCCAAGAATGTGAAGTAACAAGATCAAAGCCAGGTCTTTGCCTACATAAACAACAGAGCAAGAAAGCAAGACAGATGGGAAGAAGCTATTCCACACTACCTCAGTGATTTCAGTGCCTATTTATAGGTGAAGAATAAAGCTATGTATAAGTAACCAAGCTCTAACACGCCCCTCAGCTTTTTGTGCGATACAGCCAAGGACAGGATACTAGAACTGCTTTAAAAGACCTAGCTGCAGGCAGACACTTTGCTTTGTTGGTGGTGCTCTTCCCTTTTCCCTAAAGGCTCCCACCTGCATTACAGCACAAACTGGAATTGGGACTCGAATCCCTATACAGTACCCAGGTGACACAAAGCTCTGGTCACAGTTTCAAAGGCACTCACTGACAGCACAATGAAGGCCCCCAGAGCTCCCCTCTGTGTTCTGCATTACTCCATGTATTCATGATGCTGCACAACCAAGTTGTTTCAGTGCCCCCCCATTAAGGTTTTTCCTACAGCAACTTGAAAGAAGAAGAATCCATTAATGGAACAGCTAACGGGAAGATCAGAGGCCATCAGGGACTTGTGTGTAACTGTTCCCTGCACCACATCTCAGACCTACAACTGAACCCACACATTCTTCCCAACCAAGCTTCTCACACATGCCAAAATGCAAGTCACAAAACCACTGGTCCCAACCACTACTAAAAGCTGATGGATCTGCTGTTAAGAGGTGGAGCAGGTCTCAGGTGCACACAGAATGGTTTGGGTTGGAAAGGACCTTAAAATCATCCTGTTCCATGCCCCTGCCATGGACAGGGATGCCTCACAAGGGTTTCCAAACCCCATTCAAAATCCCTGCAAAGCCCACATTGCGTATTTTTAGCCTAGCCTAAAAATAGCAAGCATCAGTACTGTGAATATATTTAAACTCCTGGTACAGGCAGGCGTTTCTGGACTGCAGTAATTGGAGCAGAACTCAAATCTGCTCCCTCCACTTCACATTCGTGCTGCGATGAGCATCTTCTGATGGAGCTGGAATTGGAAGTGACAGTTGAGGGGAGACCCCCCTCCTAGACACACTGTAGTGTATTTTTCCCCCCTACTTATAGTATTTGAAACCTTGAACTCCCACATCCCCAAAATGGGATTAGATTCAAAGTGCTCTTTTCTAGCTCTAGCTCAAGGCAACAGGAGTAGACAGAAAGCACTGCAGGGGAGGTAGGAACCGAAATCCCAACCGAATGGGGGGAGGAAAAGGAAAGAGCGACTTAAAAGAGATGTCAGCAACATGAAATCGTTGTGTGTTTTAGCCTCTCCCCATACAGCAACACCACTGTTGCTCACCTGCGTTGACAGAAGAGCACCAACTCCTACGTTCTGCCTGCGGGCAGCAAACGTGTCTGCTGGTAGCCTGCGAGCAAGGTGAATGCCTGGCTTGTTTCAAGCTGCTAAAACAAAGAGAAGGCGCTTAAATAATGCATGCCTTGTGACAAGCAGCAAAGTGAAAAGCTCAGAATTCAGCCCTTAAAACAAGAAAAGCTCCACAGAAGGGGAATAAACCAGCCTGACTTACTGTCAGCATCGCACTGAAGCCTTTCAAAGGGTTCACGATGCGCTAGGGGCTGCTCCTTCTAACAGCCACTTAGAAAAAGCAGGGAGAGTTTAACATGTCAAGCAACAGCATCCCAACTGGAAATGAGAACTCCCCTGATCATAAGCCTGACAAGAACCACTGGGCTTAAATAAGTTCTATTTGCTATGCATAAGGCAGTGATCACCGCTGCATCACACCTTGCAAAGGAATAACGGCAGTGGTTAGGATGTGGACCTGCAGCAGGGCTTCTGCCGAGCAGGTTGGCACAGAGGCCAGGCCCCTGCTCAGGCAAAAGTGGGGAATGCCACCAGAAGAAAAGCACTGCCCTCATCCCAAAGCTTGCTCCTGGCCTCATCCCAAAGCCTTGCTCCTGGCCTCCTAAAGGTAGGGGAGTGTGGGTATCAGCTCGCAGGCAAGGCCTCCTGGCTTCCTCCTGTGTGCTTACCAGGAAAACAGCACAACCAGCTACACCTATTGCCCAAAAGCTCCTCTTAGGAGCACAGAACAGGCACAAGGCTCACAACAACTGCATCCATGTAGCTCTGCCAGCAATCTGTGGACACGTAGCATGGGCTGAAGGGGCACAATGTTCATTTATCAAACAGGGCTTGGAGCAATCTGCTCTAGTGGAAGGTGTCCCTGCCTATGGCAGGGGGTTGGAACTGTGTGAGCTTTAAGGTCCCTTTGACCCAAACCATTCAAGAGAGTCAATACCAGAATTTACCTGTATGTTTTAAAACACCCCCTGTTTCACAA